GTTGGGGGCAATATGCTGACTCTGTAAACCGCTTAGAGAGGGCTGAAAGCCCTATGAAGCAGTATATAAGTCTAACTGCTATTCCTATTGCTATGATTGATTAAATAAATTACAGCCCCTCAAAAAATCATCTTAGTAAGTCTATCAGTGCTCTTACATTGCTTCACAAGGTCAACGTTCCAGTGGACACCTAAATTATGCTTGTATCTATATTAATTAAAGAATAAGAATACTAAATTATAAATTAGTAATATTTCTGGAATAACCTTCCCATAGGTTTAACTGAATAATTCATATTTTATTAAGTTTATGGGCCATGCCAGCCGCAAACAATTCTTCTCCATATATCAAACAGTAATAAAACAGTGAGACTTCCTTAAGTGCTAAATGATAATTTCAATATTTATGTTCATCCAAATGGGCAAACTAAACTCATAACTGATATGATCCACAGTAATCGCAAATATTCTTTTTAAAGATACAAAGCAAAGTGTTTCCACCAAGATTCTGGCTGTTAGCTGTAAAACCTCTAATAACATTGGATCCTTGCTAGACTTGGGGTCTTTCTGCTCCAGGTAGAATCTGTCCATCAAAAAGGCAGGGGTCAAAAGGGCATGCTGTAGATCCTCCTCTCTTAAGGTGTGAGTGAGGTTTGGGACTCTGGCCTTTTCAGCTCAACTACCCTCACTTTGGAACTCTTGTCTGCTGAGATGTGACTATAAGGCAACAATTTAGTAGTCTAATTATTTTGTATTGATGTGATTGTTGTAAAATGGTTTTAATAAAAGTTTATGGTTCTACAAAATGCATGCTACTTAGAATTAATTTTGTTAAGCATATCTGCTTTGGAGTACCAAGCTCATACAACAACAACAACAACACAGCATCAATAAAACATGGAAATAATGGCCATTACTCTTCCATAGAATAATAAAGTACATTGGTCTGTATAATAATAATTGTTTTGAGTTATTCAGTAAAGAAAGCAGTATTATTGCTTGAACATTTGACTATGAAATTGTTGATACTTGTAACCCAGCTGTTTCAGTCCTACCTTCTGAAGTCCTTTCTTTGGGGCATTCCCCCAGGAGCTACAAGAGGAATTGCTCTCTTGCGAAGCAGTATTATTCCACATATCTCCTTCTTCATCTTCCCACTGACTTGTACTGAGATTTACTTCATCTCCACCACTGCCCCAGCCTTCTTGCATAGAAGATTTAGAAGCTATGGGGGGAAAAGTGGAAGATTTAAGCAAGTTTTCCTAGTCTCTTTAAATCTTGCCATCTGTAATCATAGCAACACCATATTTTATTTCACTGGTATAAAATTGGAGAGCTTACAGATGAATCAACAAAAAGGACAGCAATTCTAGCTGCTGACAAGCCTTTCATCTTACACAACATAAAAGAATAACTATTTAAATTGAAAAAGAACATAAAAGCAGTATTTTTTTCTTCCACCTTAGCCAAGCCAAACAATGAACTACCGATTTTACCTGGTTTGCACAGTGCTGGGGCAGCAGCTGGTGCGCTCACTCTTCCATATGTCCCTGCTGACTCAGCAGAGTTATCTCCCCACCCTGTACCACTGCTAGGGGGCTTCCCCCAGGCTGAAGTGCCATTATCAACTGCAGCAGAAGGGGAGGAAGGTTCTCCCCATGAAACTTCAGGCTTTGCATGGACAGCAGGCATCTCTCCCCAACCTGCTGAAATCAGAAATTGAAAAGCAATGTTGAAAGCAAAACATAGAATTAATTGTTAATATGACATTTTTAATCATTTTACTTAAAAATTATAGATAATTTGAAGCAAGCTCACATAAAGTTTAGTCACCTAAACAAGATTTTCTTTTCTTAAAGGAAGGTTCAAGAATCACTGCACTACAGTAAGAATGCTTTGCTAAATCTTTTCCCATTCAAATCTTTTCAGAGTTTACTAAGTTATAAAAAAATATAATTTTTATTGACTTACAACTAAGTTATAAAAATATTACACTTCCACAATAAGCAAAAGCATCTACTCATTCATTTGGATGACTGAAATCACAAGAATTTTCCAATTCATTCAAAGCAAAACTCTGAAATTCACCCTGCGAAAAACAGTGTTGGCTTCATTCATAACTTTTAAAAGGGCTTTTAAAATACACGTTTATCTCTGATTTTTAATTAAAATGTTTTTAATGCTATGTGTTATTCTAACACACTCTCCCCCTATTTTCAACACAGCAACAACCCTTTTTTTATATATCATGAAACAATAATTTTTAAACCTTAAACTGACTATTTTGAATAATCCAGTTTGATAGCAGTTATTGTGTATTAAGGAAGGATGTTCAATTGTATTACTATTTTGGTAGAGTATTGAAACATCTTGTAGTCAAATATATAAAAAGGCAAATTATTTCTGGGCCATCTACAGAATGACATCTCTTCAGTGGTGTACATCTCAAAACTAGGGTAGTGGAAGGAGTTTCTTCAAGACCTTTGCACAAATCCCTGTTTATCCATCTGTTAGAAACATTTGGACAAATCCATATCCAAGAACAAAGGAATGACTTTAGAAGATTATTACAAGGATAATAGGATCTACCTAGCATTTTGTACTTTAAAACTGGTGTGGAATGCTAAAACAATCACCAGAAACTGGTTGACTTTCTTTTCAAACAAAAGGGCCACGTTGCATAACGTGGCTTTTTTTAAAAAAAGGTACTAAAATAAAAAGGGTTTGAAAAATTGGGGAAAGACATGAAAAGCAATGGAATAAGGAATAACAGGATTATGGAAAAACTGCAGAAAATAACTAACAAGAAAATCATAACAGAATGGATATAGATAGGAGTGTTTCATAAAGTAGGAGTTCTGAAGTAAGGAACACATGTTCATATATAGATTTGAGATTGCTTCTAACAGGACTTTATATTAAAAAAGCCTTCGCTAATTGATTTATTATGTAATCATATCCCGCCATAATTACATTACCATTCAGGAAATTAAGTACAATTAAATATTATGAAGGAAGCCACTAAATAGATAGTAAATACTATGTAAATAGAGAAACTTCAAGGAAATAAAATAGTACAAGTCTGATAAAATAAATCATAATTCACATGTTATTTTGCCAAATATGGAGGTATAAAGTGGAACTTCCACTATACAGAAGGAAAAATATGAAAAGTTACAAGCAAGTTATAAGCTACAGATTGAATGGATTCTTCTCCAAACAGCATAGCCTAAGTTTGTAGGGGATTTTTTTTAAATATTCCCTTTAAGAACAGCTGCTGGGAAGATATTGAAATGTTCCAATATGTATTCTTTTAAAAGCTTTCAGCTTCTCTATTGAATCAGGATCAATACTATAATAACACTAGAAAATCTACTCTGTAAAAGAAAAAGAACAGTTTCCCATGGTTCTTTTCAAATTCAGTAATTATTAAAAACAATCAATCGGTAAGATAGAAATAATTGCTAAATACATTGTGTACTGAGCCACATATTGTGTAAATTATTACTCACAACAAGGGAGTTCATGCCATGCCAAATTAATTATAATTATATGACAACAATAACATCCCTTAAGACATGCATAGTTTGTAAAGTTATCCAGAGTTGAAACTGAATCCCCCAAAGTTGCAAAGTCATAATGATGGTTAGTATGAAAAATCTTAAATAATAAATTGGGTGTTGCTGATATTTAAATCCTGTGGAAAAATCCAAGTTCTACTAATGCTTTAAGAATAGCTATGGATAGTTGCACTATTTACATATGTATACAAAACACTACAACCAAGCAAAGCAAGTCATTAGTAAAATTATTCTAAACCAAAAAATTAGGCATTCAGGTATTTTCATTGGCTCAATATGGAAAATGACAGAACCCGACTGAAGAGGGCAAATTGCGAGGTATTGGAACATACACAAATTATTCAGATAAAATAATTCAAAGCTGATTTATTTTATCTGGAAAATTTTTGAATGTAATTTTTCAAACTAAACTGATTCATATAGGAAAGCATTCTTGCTGGTCCAAATAAGAACCATTCCAGAACCATTATTTGAACTTCCTTAAAATCTTCAGGTTGACTTTACTGTGAAAAGCTATCCACTCTTGACTGTTTGATGATATATTCTTTCACTGTTTTTAAAAATATGATTAATAATTAATTAATGGAGACTAGTTTTTTTAAATCAGCTATGTGTTCTCAAATGAACTAAAGCAAGCAATACTGCATTTATACAAAGGTAACCTAAAAGGAAATGTAGCCTTACAGATAGTTGCATAACATTAGTAGAATTTAGAATATAGGATGCTCTTGGAGTCATATGACTAACATAGTTCATATTTATTTGAATATTCTAGGATTACCAGATATAAAGTAAATAATACTTAGTATTCTTAATGCATAATATCTTATTGTGATTTAATAGTGCTACTTTTAGAATTTTTAGGAAAAAACGATCAACGACTTTCTCAAACTTGAGAAAATACCCAATCACCTTTCAAAGACATAAAATATATGTAAATAAAATTTCAAGAATTGTCATAATTAAATCCCATCTCCATTACGATAGTTTTTAGTTCTCTATTCAAAATGATATTAAATGGTCTTTAAAACCATCCACCCAGCCTAATGCACACTATCAGAAATATGCTGTAGAGAAGCATTTATCTTATAAGTTTGATTTATAGCTTCTGAATAATCCTACAAAAAGGCTCATCCAAGTTAGCCTTTTCAGAAGACAACTGCACAGTTGTCATATGGGATACCTTCTACATGGAGGAAGCAAACTTTTAAAATTATTATTATAAAATGTACTACTGGTCTCTGGTTAATATATTTAGTAGAACTAATCTAAAATCAAGGCCACATAATGTTATCCCATTGATATACAAACTGGAGTCTGATGATCCCCTAAAATTTCAGTACTTTGTAGCACCAACTACACCATCTGAGGAACATTTATTCAAACAACTAGACAATGGATTAGGGAAAGTGACAGAGTACTGCTCCTGTTCATCAAAATTGCTTTTGTTGTCATAGCAAGTAGTGCCCTCTTAGAGTTCTTTAATCACTTTAGGAGTCTTTCCTTAGACCAAGACAGGGTAACGATAGTGCCCTTAAGGTTCTATTGTCATTTTGACATACTGCTGGCAAATACTACTTCAGGACGGTTGAACAGACAATGAAGGAAATTCTGAAAGCATTTGAAAGGCTGCTGATGCTATTATTAAAAGCTATCTGATTCTACAATTCTTTGGAGGAATAAGAGATGGTCTGCATGAAAACATCAAAGAGTCTTCAGCTTCAAATGTAATTATAAAGAAAAGCCTACAGATCTGACTATGGATAGCTATGATGAGATTTTGGGTAGGGGATTGTCCATAGGGAGAAGGGTTGTAGTGCCCAGTGATTTTCATAACAGTAGATAATCTAAGAATGTTTACCACCTTGACCTCTACATCTTCTGTCATTTATATTGCAGCGTGATTAATTATTTTATTTCTCCATATTTTTATCAGAACCACATTTTTGCTCCCCCCCTACACTTTGATGTTGTATTTTAACTATTTATGTTATTTTTAATTGCCTCTGAGCTACCCAATAAATGCAAATCTTTATCAATCCATGGAGGTTGCAATAAGCAAAATACATATTATATATTTTTTAAAAACCTAACTTTGTAATCGATCAGCCAAGGGAATTGGCAGAAAAGGTGCCCTTCTGCTACTTTTATAGGCCTGCAAGTATTGTTTGTGGTAGGGGAATATTTGGATAAATGATGCAGTTACTCTTAATCTGCTCTCAACTGCTTAAGCACATATGCAGTTTATTGGCTTAATCCGTATTCCTTTGATTAAACTATTTATTTGCTTACTTAATATGGTTTATACTCACTTTTCTGCAGATATTCCATAGACACATTTCTATTTTATTCTAAACTATTAGGTATTTCAATTATTCAACAATTGTAGAAATACAAACTGGAAATTCTCCTTCACAAGCTTGATTCTTTTATTCCAAGCAGAGTACAATACTGCAGCTGCCTATACTCCAGTTCCACTTGAGTAAGTTAATAGTTATTTAAAACCAAAAGTAATTGGAAGAAGCAGTGGCTATCACATCTAATCAAAACATATTCCATCATTCCTAGAGATATGGCACCTCATATTTATCAGAAATGGGTCATTCCTATTTATAATGTATGAAATGGAAAACTGTTTCTTTAAATATTTGTGCTATTTCCTCTATTTCAAATGAAATGCAGAAAATGGCACAAATACATTTCAACTAAAATTAAATAACAAAGAGTTTTAAGTATGAGCTGAAGTCTTCCTGTAGAGATCTAAAAAGCTAAAACCTGGGGGGGGGAGAAGAAGAAAGGATTTGGAAGTTTTCAGACATTTCATTATGATGTTATCAATGTTTTTTTGTTCCTATTGTTTATTTAATGCCAGTGCTTTCCAATATTATCATACAAAAATATCCTTATAAAAGCTAATGAATAAAAAAAGTTGACTCCAATAACTAAACAGATTTTAAGTTAGCAATAACTGAAGAAATATTTCCTTGGCAAAAACCTTCAGATGTAGTACCTTATTACACTATCAGATGCAGTATCTGATAATGAAAATCAAAGATTAAACAAGACACAGGTCATCTGAGAAAACAGAACTAAGAAAAGAGGAGAAATATGGCACAAATTATGAAGATAGTATTTTAGAATCAATTATGTGAAGTGCTGATGGACTTGACATAGTCATATGAAGTGTTAGCCAGTGATGCTGAACTGTCAATCTATGATCCTAAACACATTTAGTGTTTAGTGTCTCTACCCAATATGATTTCCTTTGCATCTTTTCCACTTTTTCTACTTTTAACAAGGAATTTGTAATGCTATTTTTTTTTTAAAAAATGGCAGTGTCCCATAGTCTCATTTTGTTGGATACTGTTTCAATTTTTTTTTACAATCCTGCTCGTCATTTAAATCTATATAATTACATTGCTTTCCTAATTCAAGTGACAATCTAAAACACACTTTCCTGAAATTAAGCTTAACTGAACTTAATATTTTTATTTCGAGCAGCTATGGTTAGAACTGTATTGTCAGCCTTTCATATCTGCTCAAGCTTCGCATTTTGGATGGAAAATAAATCAGTTTCATGCAAGCTATTTCTATACCTTATACTTTCATCTTAAATATTAACATATATTTAAGGTTGCGAACATAAGTTAACAAGTATTATTACTTCATGCTAAAAAAATAAAAATAAAATATGTATCCTACCTGGGCCAAGTAGCGGGGACCGGTTTGACTGGGCACTTGACTGGTGCGGTGGCTGTGGTTCAGTCATGTTTGCGTTGATAGTGGTGGTAGTGGTGGTAGCTGTGGTACTGCTCTGGATTACAGAATTGTTTCTATCCCACATATTTACAGTCTTGTTGTTATTGTAATTTGGATCACCCCAAGCTGAGGTACCATCATCTATCTCCATCTTGCGCCGAATGGAGGGTGGAGAGGGCTCTTCCCACCCAGTTGCTTCACTGTTATCTTTCTGTTTGGCTGGGAGTGGCCCACCAACCCATCCTGATCCAGTCTGTTTAACAGAAGCAGCTCCTCCCCAATTACTCACATTGTTGTCCTGGGATTTAGAAGCCCAATTTTGTTGGGGACCAGATTTTAAAGATTCTCCCCAGCTTGTACCTGTATTAACTTTGCTATTTGTGCCATTTCCCCATCCACTGGTCCCAGAACGTGTAGTGTCATTCCAACCAGACCCTGATCTGTTGTCAGCATCCCATCCAGAACCATTCTTTTTCCCATCTCCCAAGTGTCCAGAGATAGATGAGGAATCAACCCAATCTCCACCACTTGAAGTCCAGCCTGGATTTGATTTCTGTCCATCTCCCCAGTTTTGAGATTTGGGTTTTTGAGGTTCTCCCCAAGTAGGCGACTTGTCCTCCTGATTTGTGGTCCCACTCCAAGTGTGGCCACTTTTGGCAGCAGCAGCATTATTGACAGCAGTTGAATTTGTTAGCTCTCCCCATCCCCCAGGGCCGTTGGATGCTTTGTTATTGTTATCACCCCAACCTGTATTAGTTGGAGCGGATGCGGGTGGAGAGCTGACCCACCCAGATACTGAAGAGGTATTTGTACTGTTCATGATGGACCCATCATTCTTGCCCCCTGCATTTGAAGGCTGAGTAGCTGCACAACCCCAGGCCTCAGTTCCATTGTCATTCTTTCGATCAGACCTTGGAGATTCTTCAAATTCCCAGGCAGTGTTTTGTTTTACAGGCGTCTGTCCCCATCCAGTGTTGGAAAGAACCCTGGGGTCAAGGTCATTCCTTGGCAGTTGGACTTGTCCTTGGTCTATCATTCCCTTATCTCTTCTTCGACACTCTCCAGGGCCTTCTCTTCCAGTACTGCCTTCATTTTGACTTCCATTACTATCATTACTTCCTTCACTACCTGTGTTGCCAGTTGCTGCAGCTTTGGCCCAAGAGTTTATTTGATCATTGCCCTGTTGCATGGCAGGATTCTGGTTGGTAACATTAGAGCTATCCCACCCTGTTGATCCTTTTCCACTGATGTCATTACTGGAATGCTGGTTTGGGGGTTTGCTCCATTCACCATTAATACCATTGCTAGTGCTGCGGTTTGAATGTCCCCAAGCACCAGAATGCATACTACCAACGCTATTGTTGCCATTGCCCCTGCCCCATGCTAAGACTCCAGGACTGGCAGGATCCCACGCATTTGTTCCATTCCCTTCCTTTTGCACAGCATTGCTGGATCCATTTTGCTTAGCAGTTAATGCTGAGTTCACAGTGTCTCCATTCCCCTGACTGAACCCAGAATTGCTGTTTCCTGTGGCAGGATTATTTGGGGATATTCCCCACACTGAATTGCCCATTCCTTCACCACTACCCCCACTGACTTGAGAAACTGATGTCCCATTAGCACCAGGAAGGCTTTGCAAATGGGGTGGGATGATGGCCCCCATGCCAACAGCCATGCCCCAGTTTGGCAGTCCATTTGTCTGCATTGCATTGATAGGGTTTGGTGAAGAGTTCATGGGGTTAGTGTTATTTGGTCCATCAGTGTTAAGGTTCTGAGGTTGTACGCTGAAAGACACATTCTGAGAAGTGGACGTTTGTGGTTCTGTGCTCTCTTGTGGCAACAAGTTTCCCCAAGCACCTAAGGTGCCTGCTGGGTTCCCATTCTGGTTGCCCATGTTCTGACCTATGGCACTAACTGGACTGCAAATACTGGAAGGGTTGCCTGCTCCCACAGTTCCCTCATGTCCAAGTACAGGCCAGGCAGCTGGATTGGCATTGGGGTTAAGGTTAAGATTAATGCCAGCATTTGAGTTGGAAGCACCCCAGCAATTCTGACTTCTACCATCTCCAATCATGTTGTCCATCTTTCCATCCCCACCACTAGCAGAGCAGTGAGCTAAGCCAGAGTTAGAATTGGTGGCAACACCCCACACTCTGGTCGAGTTTCCATTACCATTTGCTCCCCCAGCTCCAAGGGCACTCTGGTTAGAAGTGCTTTGGATGAGTGCTCCATTGGTGCCATTATTGCCATTGGGTTTCTTTGTATGTCCAGTGAAGTTGCCTTGGGCACTCCCTGTAGCCATGCTACTATTCTCAGAGCCACAGTTGGAGGCAGAGTCAGTGTCTGTAGTACATTCTGAGGCAGACTCAGTCTCAGTTCCTGTAATGGAAGGCCACGCTTCCTTGTCAGTCCTGTCTATTATCACTTTATCCCAGCCGCAACTGGCTTCACTTCGGAAAGTGGGCTGCTGTCCCCAGTGCGTATTCTCATAGTTGTCTCCCAATCCACTGTGGCCAAGGTCTGTAAAATCAAATATTACGCAAATTAATCACCTGACAATGACAATATATAAGTATGGCTTATTACAATATTTTTCAAACACATTTCCAATTTCAAACATCACAACTGGAAAAAAAAATCCTATGTGATGGCATATAAGATTGGCATTAGTAAGGTGAAGCATAGATTTTTCTATATATTAAAATATAGTCTTCCATGGTACAACAATGCACTAAAAATTCCAAGATATGATAAAAATTCTTCTTTATACTAATACATCCAGGTTTTAGATACATTCAATACTTAGATTCCTCTTATAAGACTCAACTAACAAAACCAACTTTCTTCTAGGCCTAATAGATCCAAACATTACAGTGATGTTACTTTCAAAGATTTTTAAATGCTAAAATTAAGACTTGGATGTAATGGTTAGTATCCCATACGTATAAATGACGGTACAATGTGGGCAGAGGGGTCAATATAATCCGGATCCATAAGGAAGAAGAGAGCAAGCGGTCTTCTTACTTGTGTCCTATTCTAGCAAGGCATAAGCTAGCATTTGAGACTAGGAAAAGCAAAGAAAATAAGAGTAGTAGTTTGAACTATTTACAAAGAGATTCAAGAGAGGTTATTGTATGTACGCAGGACATTTTAAATATTAATCAATTCGCTAATTTCTAATAATGTTTTGTTCTGCAATGTGAATTACTATTAAATGTAAACTGTACATATTGTGTAGTTATCAGAGATTATTTGGGATTTTGAGAAAAATCTCAAGCCAAGAGAAAAAAATTATATTTAAGACTTCTATAAATAATTGGCAATTTTTCATTACAAAATGTGAATATTTTTGGGATGAAGTGATAAAGTATATCTAAATTAGGATTCATCAAAATAAAAATTTGGCAGTACAATATTCTTTATATTGAACAATTAAGGGTATATTTAAGTTAAAATCAACATCGTGTTTCTTATATATTTAAAAGACCAGTTAAGTCATTTTAAAAGGCAATGTTCTAAGTATATAAATTAGATAAATATATAAAATTTCTATAGCAGAATGAAAAATGAATTTTATGTATAATAATGTGGATATTCAGGATGAAGACAAAAAAGGTTTTTAAAAATGCACAAAGGATCTATTTTAATCTGTTAAAGTTTATTTATTATTAAGAGGCTTCCCCTGATTTCTATAGCATGTATAACCTGAGGGTCAAGTCTTTTTTTAAAGGTGTTAGAAATCTGTAAGGATTTGTTTTTAAAAAAATAATAACAGGTGAAGTATTTATATCTGTGTTCTGAATTTTGCAACTGTAAAAATTTAGGTGGAAATTGTAAGTTTGTCCAACAAGAATTACTGTACAAATGCTTAAATTCTAAGACTGTGCCAGAAATACTAATGCAGATATGAAAGAGTTAAGAGACAGCTCAAAATAAAACAGCTTCAATTACAGACAGAATCCAATACTAAGCCACACAAGTGGAAAAACCTAATTTTCTTTTCTTCTTCTTCTTCTTCTTCTCTTTCTGCCATGGTATGCAACGAAGTATGCTCCCTCTGAACCTTTAATGTGTTCAGGAAAAGAGCTGAGCAGCATAAAAGAGAACATTCTTCATTATTAGATAATGAGTACTCTGTGAAATACTAACACTCCAAAACCAAACAGCAGTAGATAATGACAAATAATAACTTCATTTTTCTGCCCAGCGCAGCATATCTATAGCAAGCAGCTCTTTCTCTGAGGACGCCATTTTATCAAACCTGAAAGGCAGCCAAAAGCTTAGGACGCTGTGCTGCTGCTGCCTCTAAAACATTATGTAATAAACTGATTTAACAGAAGCAGATGCTATTTTCCCCCCTCCCTTTTTTTCTTCCTCTTGTTGCTCTAAAGGGGCCAATGAGTAATAAAATACCTGACGAAAGGTGACGCCCAACCATCCTAGAAGACGCTACATTGTGTACAGAGCTGCCTCTCCTTCTGCATCTAGGTTCGCCTGGACTCTCAGCTTCAATATGTCGGCTGTGTTGAGAGTGAGCCTCATCCTGTAGAGCTGCCAAGAAAACCGCTCAGTGCAAGTGTGCACCGAGACAACCTGCAAGCTTGCTCAGGCCTTAGCTCTGCTAGCTTTGGAAATGCTCTTTCTATGCAGGGAAACTCTTCTTCTCCCCCCCCCCCAGCATATAGCCCCCTTAACTCTGGGTAAGGCATCAACAGATGAGGATTTAAAAGCTTGATTATCTAATTGCAGCTGACATTAAACCGATCTTGCTTCCTCCTTAAATTCTTTCAACTGTCACAAAACATTTTCAGTTCGAAACCTAGCCACAATTAGCACGGTGGCTGCTTTTCTTCTGGTTTTGAAAGTCAGCCAAAAGAACAGCCGCATATTCCTGATTGGCTACATGCAAACACATTCATGCCTCCTTCGTATTTCCACCCTCCTCTTCCCATCCTTAAAAAGAAGACGACAGGCTGTATACTTGGCAAACAAGCACTGGTAATGATATTGGAGAGGGGAGGGAGGGGAAACCTGACAGGTAATTCCCCCAAAACCTTTTAATTGTTTCTCTGGTTTTATCAAGAACGTAGAAAGTGGGCAAGGGCATTAAAACCCACACGAGCATGTGGAATTGTTGCTACATGCCTCGGAATGACAAGACAAACTGCAGCGCTTTTTCCCTTCAATATTTCCATCTGTTCTACCATGGAGGCACAAGTATTTGATTTCTAGTTAAGACTTTTTTATTTTGTTTCCCGTTCTTTTACTAAACACTGTAATTTTTATATGAATGATGATATCAACACCTGATCCAAAAGATAACATTTTCAAACTAAGAAGATACAGGGAAAAAAATCACTATTATCTTATTGACTTGGAAGGAAGCAGCCCTGAACCCCTTCACTTAAGATCAGGAAAAAACAACAACTTTCATCTCATTCATATCTCAAGCCTTCCAATCTGAAAGCTAAAGATGAGATAAAATACATACATACATACATACATACATACATACATACATACATACATACATACATACATACTTGCTCTAGTACGCTCCAGGTAATCCAGAAGTAATTATTCAAATATAATTACTTCAAAGAAAAAACTACAAATATTGCATTTGCTAGCTTCTAAAACATAGATTAGGATATAGATGTGTATATTCCACCAAGCACATGTAAGTGCATATTTAACTTTTAGCAAAACTTAGCAATGTTTTTCCCCCTTGTTCATGGATCAAATTATCATTACTATCACAAGTTAGCAGACTAGTTAGAGATACTTTAAAACTTTTCAAACATTATTGTGGAAAAACAGAAGTGCAACTGAAGATGATCTCAATGGTTAGGATTGTAATTATTAACAGTAGTAATTATTCTACATAATATAGCAAAAATAAAAATATATTGAAATTTGCAAGTTATATAAATTTAAGTAACTTTTGTACATATGGTGGATAATCTTCTAAAAAGAGATATTATTTATCACAATATATCTGACTATATAGATCAGGGTGTCAAACGCACTTTCATTGAGGGTCACATCAGCCCTCAATGTGTTTGACCTCAGGAGGCAGGGTGGGGGTGGCCAGCTATATGTCAGTTGTGTCAGGGGTGCCTGGGATGGCCTGAGAGCTCTGCCAGCAAAAATGGGCTGTTTCTAGGGTGGCCCTGCAGGTCAGATCTAAGTACCTTGTGGGCCAGATCCAGTCTCCGGGCCTTGAGTTTGACACCCCTGAATAGTCCTCATTTAAAAAGTACCTGTTCAGCAAATATTCAAACTTAGGACTGCAATGAATGTTGTAATGACAGCTCCTCACAGTTGTGGCTATTGCAGTGTCCACATAGTCACACAATTTCAATCCAGTCACTTGTCAATTACTTTTCAGCATCTCATGGTCATGTAATCACCATTGAGGACTTTTGTAACCTGCCTCCAACAATATGAAAGCCAGCAGGATATTGCAAATGGAGACCATGTGACATCACTTATTGGTGGTGCGGGATTCACTTAACAGTACTGGAAAATCCAGAATTGCTATTGCTAAGCAGAGAAATCACGTGACATTCCTTTTTATGATTATGTTATTTAGCGATGCCAAGTCTGATCCCAATTAGAAAAATTAAGCAAGTACTATAAGTATAGCTGTATCCTGAATTTTGTCAGTAGTTACACTGCTTTTTCTTAGTACCAAAGATTCATGGACATAGTTTTAGCATTTCATTCAAACCTTTTCATTACTTAAAAAAAAAAATCTGCATTCTACATTTCATGCCTTTGAACCAAGAGTGTATATATAATTCAGTATGTTTCCTTCACTGGGGTGAAATACGTACATTAGGGAAATATATGTAGAACACAGAGAGAAATTCCAATAAAAAAGATAAACAAATATTAAATAGTATTAAAGTATTTATGCTGTCATTTCCAATAAAGCAAAGGATAACATGGCAAACATCTTATTGTCAAGTCAATTTAATTCTGTGTATTAACAAACATTTGACTTCTATTTATAAAAGTTTCCCATGTTAAGTTTTTGTTGGCAGCAATGCTAGGGGGATGGAAGAATATCTTTCATACTATACTTATTCCTAGATTCTTATTTCTAGATTGAATTGTACAGTACAATTGTTGTTGGTTGGACATTTTTTAAAAAAATACTATGCTATTTCAATTATTTAAACATTGGGGAGAGGAGAGATAAGCTATAATCTATATCTAGTCACTGCTGGAAGAATCCAAGCACCTGTATACAATTTTATGAAAATTCCTTTTGGATTTTCTGAATGCTTGAATTATGTTGCTGCAAATTATCAGACCTTCATATGGGCCTTGATTTTACATAAAGGGAGTTTGGAAGAATGCTGGCAATTATTTTACTTATTTCATAAAGTCACCAAATATGCTATTTATGTGCTTATTTGTAAGATCAATTAACCTCTTCAAAGGATTTTATGTAGCTGTCCATCTCAGTGTGAGTATGGGCAGTTTAGAGAATTAAAAACACATGTGCAAAT